CGGCCGGCGGGGCAGAAAGGAGGAAGCAGGGCGCGCGCTCTTCCAAACGCCGCTCCCGAAACGCCACCCCCGGCTCGGTTCCTATCGCTCCCACCCCGGAAGAGGAGAACGTTCCCCGGGAGTCACAATCTGCCGTTCCCTGACTGCGCCCCAGACTCTCCAGCCCTTTCGCTCCTCGTTCGCCCCTGCTGACGCGCGTGCCCGAGACCAGATGACTCGGCCCACCCGCAATTAAGCATTTGCCGGGCATCGTGTCCTCCAGCAGAGCCTCAGCTGGATTCACGTCCTCCCCCTTGACCAGTTACTCAAAGTCCTCCGTGATTCACAGCTCTGGCTCACCATCGCTAGAATACTAATGAGAGAACTGTTGATTTATCGAAGCCCTGATATGTCACCACTAGATTAAACAGTCTATAAAGTATATTTGGACACGTTACAGGATTAGAAGAATCCACCTGGGAAGTTCACTTCCTCCACTCTCTTGTAAAGAGATTTTATTTCAAGGGCACAGCACAAAGGCGCAGCAGAGATGGCCGGGCATCACCGAAACCCAAGGTATCGTTAGGGAGACTGCACGGGCCCCAACCGCCGTCTCTCTGGAGCCAAGTCCCACCTTTTAGTAATGGTATACTTTAATTTGTCTGTTTTCATCCAGTCCTAGCTGAAGGACGCTGGGGCTGCTGGCAGGGGCCTTCCGTGCACCTGGGAAGAGAGGTCTGGCGGCGGGGTGAAGGAAAAGCCTGGCTTACAGGAGGGATTAGCGCCCACGAGCACGGCCAGCAGTCGGGGCTGCTACCAGCCTCGTGCACACGTGCCGTGTTTAGCCGGCTGCACCCAAACCAAAGGGAATTAAGGGGGATTAGGGAATTGAAAGGAGCACCGTGCGCTATTGGAGGCCCGAGGGATTTGCTGCTAATATCAGCGTACGCTGCAGAGGAGGTGCTGGGGCTGCCGGTACGATGCTGATCCGGCACAAACCTGCCAACACCCTCGCTCGTAACGCCGAGAGGTCTCGCGCATCTGATCCATCCGCACGCTACGACAAGGCTTTGGTGCTCCTGACTCACCTCCTGCTGTCTCCTCCTACCTGCTGCGGGAAGCTGGAGTGCGAGTGAAGAGCAGACCCAGGCAAAGGATACACTTGTGAATCCCTCTTGAAGTCCTCTAGCCACTTCTTGTTGGTCTCAATCATTCCTTCAATACTCATCTTGCCTGACCCGCGGCTCTGGACCTGGGAGTGCTGGAACAGCCGTATTTGCTCGCTGTCGCACGAGAGAAAGAGACAGGGCAAGTGGGCAAGAGAGGTCCAGGCCAAAACGATCCCTGAGGTGACAAAGGAAGCGATGGGCTGCTGCAAAAGAGAGTCAACAAAAAGCAGCCTCCTCTTGGCTCAAAGTCCAACCACATCCTAGAGGAAAGCTGCGGCAGCCGCCCACTACCAGGCTGCTGTCCCTCTTGCCCGCACAGCGTCAGAGAGGGTCGGGTGGCAGCCCTCGCTCCATCCACCCGCGCAGCATCGCCTGTCGCGGCCCGATGCCGGCAGCATCCTTGGACCCCGGTCCCGGAATGAGGGTTATCAGCACAACTACGATGGCAGCTTCACCGTAGAACGTCTAACTTAAAATTTGGTTACTTCCTTGTCTTATGACATGTGACCTACAAATCATTCCAGACAAATAAAAGCAACGAAAGAGCAGTAAACGCACAATGAAACAACAACTGAAGGAAAAAGACCCTTACTCTGCAGGTACGTATCCCAGCTTGTTGTCCAGAGGCTTGGAACTTCCACTGAGCAATGGGAACCCACCTGGAAAACAGGCATTAAATACAGACCCCCTCCAAATCAATAGTCGCTACCATCTGGGGCCATTCGCTTTCTTGTACTACAGATACACTGTCCCTACAAGCTGAGCCACCGGCCGAGGACGTAGCGGCGTTACGGAAACCGAGACGGCGATCCCCATCTGCAGTTCACAGGAGGTTTCCAGCGAAGCGGGGCTGGCTCCCTTCTTTAGCAACTGCCTTCTCGGGTGCGTGCTAAAGGCTGAACTGCTCCAGAGGCAGGACGACCAGATCAGCCATACCCCGCGCTTCCCAGGAAGAGAAACCCTGTTTCTCATTCTCTCTCTCATCAGCACCCCTCCCTCCTACCAGCAGCACCAGTGGATCCAGCCCTACCGGCATCGGAAGGGGGAGCCGATTAGAACTTGGGGGGCTTTAAAATCAAAAGCCCTAGGCGAGCAAGCAGATGGATTACCGACCTACCCGGGAAATACTTGTGCCACTTCTCCGCCAGCATGCTGTCCACTGACTCTCCAGCTGTGAAAGAGCGCCCCGAGCTCAGCCCAGTGCTCCAGGCCCACGGGTCCACCAGAGACGCCCCGGCGGGGTCCACCAGGGAGCCACCCGCCCGAAGTCCTGCCAAGGAGGCGTACGCAGAAAGCGGGACGCCGTCACAGGGCGTCGAGGCGAAGAGCGGAGACTGGCGGTTGTTCAGAGAGCCCAAGACACCGAGGACCCCGTTCAGCTCGCTAGTGATACGCTGCAGAGAGTCTGTCAAGTACTGGATCTTGTCCAGCTGCGGAGCAGCCCGTACATCGGTTCGCAAATCAACTGGCAGAAGAGAGAGGGGAAAAAGGGATCACTGGGAGGCCAGAGACACGCCGCCTCCCCGGCGGGAGGCTCGCTTCCCACTGCGCGCTGGGCTCCGAGCGGAGTTTGATCCGTGCGCGGGGATAAGCGGGATACGGAGGCAAAAACCCGGCTTTGCAGCTAACAGGGGAGATACAGACTGGCAGCGAGGATTTGTGCCTTGGAGGCTGCCTGGGCGCGAAGCGGGGGAGAAACGAGATAGCAAGGACCAGATCCTCCAACGCTGCGAGAACAGGGCCCGCAGGACGAGCCTGGAGACGCATTAAGCACGCGTGTTCCACCTCCCTGCTCCAACCCTCCGAGCTGCGCCGTACCCTGTACCACGCAGCCGTTAGCACAAAGGCAACGGCCTTTCCAGAGCTGCACCCGCCATGCCGAAACCCCCAGCACCGCACCCTGCCTCCCCGAGGCGAGACCCCGGCGCAGGCAACCACGCTTTGCTCCAGCGGTCTCACCGCACACAACTGAGGCGGCACAACGGGTTGGTCACACTTCACGTGCTCGTAAGATGCAAAGCTCTCTGGGCCACCAGCCAGGACGGAAGTAGGACCAACAGGACCGTGCTGCCACGGTGCTTCTCTCATCTTAGGGCGAGAGAAGACCCTCGAGTTTCACATGTGCCCGCAGATGCTTTGCTGCTCAGGGTCAGAGAGCCCATCCCAGACCAGGCAGCTTGTCAAGTCTGTTGCCAGAGGCAAGTCTTCCAAACTCTAAGCCCTTCTGCAAGCAGGATTACCCCGCTGCCTTCCTGGCTGTTTACAGGAGCCCTTCCCGTAAAGGTTTATCAGAGAGGCAAAAGGAGGAGCCAGAACCAGGTCTACAGCATCCTATGTTGGGCACAGCCTGTCACATACGTACATTTAGGCTGATGTAGGTTTACACTGGATGTGCTGTTTGTGTCCTCCGAGTTGCTGAGATCAAAAGTCACCATCTTCTTGCATGCAGCACTCTTCAGCGTATCTTCATCTGAAAGCTGGTCAAAAAGAAGGAAAACAATGCAAATTAAAGCTGCTGTTCTGTCCCCGAAACATAAAAGCGACCGGAACAGTGCCTGCAGCTAGTCTACACAGGCTGGACTGCACGGTCAGTCGTGGGCCAAGAGAAGGCAGACTCATCTTCAGTCCCTGTCAGCGACATCGGAATGTCAAGAGACTGCTTGCGCTCTGGAAGAAGCACATGCTGGCCAGATCTAACAGCCACGTGAATGGGTCCTTCTAGGCAGAAGTCAAAGCGTTTTGTGCTTTAAACAAGCCTCACCACTCTTGCAGGGGACGGGTTCTCTCTTTACACCGAGGAGAAGTGCTTGACCGTCAAAGGTCTCATGCACTTGCACCTAAGGCCACGTGGTCCCAGGCAGAGCTGGACAGATGCTGAGGCTTGCCTTGGTCGGGAAAGCAGACTCGATCCTAGTTCACATGAGGTGACCTGCCCTCGTTTTACTCTAGGCTTAAACCACGCAGCTTTTTCTGGCTCCATTCCGCAGCCACACGCTTAACGGCGAGTCCAGATGCCATCAGCAGAGGGAAGGCACAGTATTTGCCGTCTTGGCCAAGGTACAGACAGTTAATAAAACATCTAACCCTTCTGATGTGAGGTTTTAGTTTATATCGTAGGATACTTCAGCTTCATTTCTGACCAAGCTTCCCGCAAGTCAGTGCTCTCAGCAGGTTTTCTCCACCCCAGTGCATCACTGGTGCCAGCAGCCCTGCCTGGCAAGCTGCCACCGTGGCAGAGTCCTCAGCCCAAAGTCCAGCCCAGGTTTGTCCCGGTGGCTTCCGGCCTAGTGAATCACAGGGCTCATGGTTCAGTCAGGGCTGGCATCCTCTCCAACTCCATGACTAGCCTTCTCTCTCCCACTGTTCTCAGACACGCTGTTCTGTGCTCAAAGAACGCGTTTCTACAACCCAGCTCTGCTGGCAAAGGCCAGTCTTTGGCCACCAGCTAAGGAGTCCTCACAGGGACCAAAAGCCCTGAGAGACTCCAGCCTAGAGGCGGCGGCCGAGAGGCACAAGCAACAGTGATGCTGGTGGTTACCTCTTCCAGCAGCGAGGACTCCAGCTGACTTAGTTTCTCTTCTTTCTTCCTCAGCAGCACCTGGCTTTTCCGCATAGCCGACTTCATCTTGTCCAACTGCTTTGCTTCCTGCAAAGCCAAGCCAAGGAGGAAAATTAAACACGAATGACGAGAAATAATTGATGTTAGCCGTTAGGGTGACTTCCATTATCTCACTCCTACTCAGCCCAGGAAATCACGCTGCTGGAGCAAAACCGCTCCCAAGTCTTTGACAGCACGGCAAGGGGAACGTACGGAGGGCAGAGCACATGCCTCAAAGCAAGTTCACTCCAAGGAAAAGTAGGTTTCCCTTCCAAACCCTGCATACAACAAGGTCAGCAGCTTCGGTTCTGCAAACATGAATGTTCTCTATAATCAGTGAAGAAAGTTATGCCTTTCCCCGTCTTCGGTTGGCGTATCAGCAGAGCTGACGAGTACCCAAGAACCCCTTGCCGAGCAAGGGTGAAACCACTGCAGAGCTACAACCATAAATTCGTACTCACTGATGGGAGGGATACCTGTCACTCCCTTTACTATGAAGAGGAAAAAAGTCATGTTTTCCCCCCCGCCAAATCCTTTCTCCATTTCTAAGGTCCCACAGCTCCACCTAACAATCGAGTTCCTACAATCTAGCAAGCTACCGAGCGCTGCCTGCGCTGCAGCGGCGGCTCTGTGGAGCCTTCCTAGCCCAAAGCACGCGCGGCCAAACAGAACTGGAACTATTCTACCGTGCAAGGCCTCGTTAGCTGCAGGCTATGCACGCGCACGCAGCCGCTTTCGGTCGCCCATCTGATGCACAGTAACATCGCTGATCCAAAGCCTCGGTCAGGCTCTCATTAAGCCTGTTCCTCAGACGCTGCCTTTGCACCCCATTCCTGAAGGGCTCTCTTGGCCCTCCTGAAGTCATCTACAGCCAGCCCGAGAAGGGAAGGACTCTGACCCTCGTGTTACGACCAGGAAGACGCAAGCAGGGACGCGCGCCGCAAATCTGTCACAAGACGCGCAAGATCCCATTTCCAGGACGACCGAACTCTCACAGGGCTGGGGATTCGACGATGGATGCCACAACGCCCGACATCTGAACGCAGGCAGCGCTCGGGGGACTCACCTCTTCCAGGTTCTTGCGCACGCCCTCCAGGAGCTGGGAGCTGTCGGGATCCTGCACCACCTCCTGTGCTTTCCGCATATCTTGGTGCCACTGCTGCTTCGCAGCTTTCAGAGCCGTGTGCCTCTTCCTCATGGAGCGGGTCTGGCGCACCAGGAACTCCTTGGCGTTCCTGATGGAGATCCCTTCCGCAGAGATGTAGCTCCTGACGCTAACGAAAGAGACGGGCGTGCTGCTGCGCCATCCCGCAAGCCTCACGCGGCGCCCTCCCCGAAAACGGGGTGCGACGCGCATAAAACCCCAGCAAGAACATGTTCCGGAAGCAGCTGGCGTACAGATACTCACCGATCAAACTGGAAGTCGCTGTCCTCGTGGCTTTGAGAGGGGGGGGAAGCAGGCTCTCTCGGCGAGTGCTGAGGAGTTGAAACGTTTCAAAAAAATAAGAAACACGTATGGGAAACAGAGGCCCAGGACCCCAGAAGGGTCCAGTTAAGAGGAAAAATTTGGAACGACATCACCACAGTACTGCCCAGATCCCAAACCAGTGCCAAGGATGTTCTTATGCGACTTGAAAAAGTAACAGAGACATTGCTATCCCTGACTCGAGCCCCGCTTTTGACTCCAAGGGCAGTCAAGTATCCCACGCTGATCTCCCCTCAGCAATAACAGAGCGAGATCAACAAATGCTACTAAACGTATTGACGTCCCCGGGGCAAAGGAAAAAGCATCGCCGCATCTCAACTGAGTTCACACAGAAGGAACAAAAGCTGGGATTGAGGGAGTTACGGCCTCAGAGCTCACGAGGCAAACACCTTTACAGTCCGCTTTACTCACGGCTTGAAAAGTTTCTCTCAGGTCTTCAACATGGAGCTCAGCTTTCCTTCCTGGAGATTCCACGCTTTCTTCTGCCTCCAGTTCTTTCAAAGCCTCCTGTTTGCTCCTGACAGCTGCCTCAAGCTCACTGCCCCAAGAAAAGGCAACAGCGGCAGCGCTTGGTTAGACCGCAGGTCCATCTAGCCCCGTAAGCCGCCGCTAACCGTGTCCAAAGCGACCTCCGGCTTCCAGGGGGGGAAAGGGCCGCAGACGCGCAAGACAACACCGGCATCGGGTCTGCGGTGCCACGCCAAACGCAACCCCCGGCCGGGCAGGGAGACGCTGCTTCACACCCTCACCCAGAAGCTCGGCGGTCTCAGGAAAAAATCCTTCCTTTGCATTTCGATGCCCCCCTCCCTCAAAGCATCCGATTAACCTCACGAGCCAGATGCGGAGAAGACAAACAACTGATACCGACAAGCGGAGGCGAAGGGACACGTTTACACAGCGAGTTATTAACACGTTAATACCCCCTCCGCACCCTCGCCACGCGGCAAGACGGCCGCCGGGATCGTGAAGGAACACGGCCCAACATACACGCGGCTCAGAGGCAAGGGAGAGGTACGGGTTAGGTTAGAGAGGTTGCTGTTAGGGGCACAGGGCAGATTTTTCCCCCCCCATTAGAGGAGATTCCTCATACGCACACCTGATGCGTTTCTGCAGCCTCTGGCTTCGGCTCTGCAGCAAGTCCACCTGGGCCTCCAGCTCAGCTTTCTGGTCCTGGAGCTCTTCAAGAGACCTACGCAGCTGCCGGGTGGACTCAAGGAGGCTGGCGTGCTCCCTCCTGTTCTCCTCCAGGCGGACTTGAGAAGCTAAAGCAGCTTCCTAGAAGAAAACCAAGAAACCCCTCACAGTAATTTCCCCCATACCAAAATAAGAGGCGCACAACATGCAAGAGCTTGCTACCTGCACAGTTCGCAGGGGGTCCCAGAGCTAAAAACACGCACACACACAACACACCAACCCTGGCAGAACAGGACTGTCGCTTCTTTTTGGGAAACGGCTCAGAGCTAAATCAAACTCATCAGGATGGCACTCCAGGCTGAGGTAGGGAGGGATTTTCAGACTCACAATTTAGAAGCAACAGTTTGCTTTTTTAAAGCCATAGTTCTAGCGTGCTGCCCTCATCCCCAAAAATGCAGCAGCACAGCACCTCTCCAGAGCCAAGATATACATACGTCTCTCTCTAGCTCAGCCCGTCTGCCTTCATCCAGCAGCTGCTGCCTTTTCTTTCTCAGGGACTCCTCCTATATACAGATGAGAAAAGGTGTCAGAGCAAGGAGACTGCTGATGCTGAGCAGCACCTGAAATACAGAGGTCGAGCCCGCGTCTCAAGACCATTTCAAAGTACTTGAGGCTTGTTGTCAGTTTTCAGTGTTCCCACACACGCGCACTCGAATCCCCCTCCTTTATTTGGCTTCAAGTGAGAAGCCGGGAATATCTGCATTCTGGGGGAAGAACACCCCTTCCTGCTCAGCTGCAAGAGCATTCAAGGCGCACGGCCATTTCTGTGGGATCTTGCTTTCGCGAAGCCTCCGACTGCCTCCAGCATCGCTTCACCGTTTTACTTCCTCGCTCCAGTGCTGCTTGGAAAGGAAGGGCTGACGGAAGCAAGGCTGTCTGCAGCCCTTGGCACAGGCCAGGACTTGAGAGATCTGCAGGCAAGGGCATCGGCCGGCGATTATTGCCAGCTCCACGGGAGCCTTTGGAGCGCTTCCCTCTCCCACACCGAGATCCAGAAACACTCGTTCCCTTTTCACGGCATCAGGGAGAGGAAGAGTCAAATCAGGAAGGGATCGCCTAAAGTCCCAAGCGAGGACACGCCACCTCGAAGGGCTCTTACGCTCCCTCCGTCCCCCTTACAGCCACTCTCTCCCACAGCACTGGGCAAACTTGGAGCGCTGACTTTCACCAAGTCACGCAAACAGCAGCCACGAGGCTGCACCACTAGGAACGCTGAGCCCTGCTCCGAGTTTTACCTGAAACTGGAATGGCAGCAAAAGCCCTGGCTGAGTGCTTCGGAGGAGTCCCCCGCAAGGAAGCGGCCAGAGGAGCGGCACAGGCTAGGAAACCGCTGCGAGCCCAGCGGGGCTGACCCACCTGGCTAAGGAGCTGCACCGATCTGGCTTTGACGTTCTTTGTGCGCGTGTCAAGCTCGTTCTCAGAATCCTGAAGTTTTCTTTCCTGCACAGAAATGCCGAGGTGAAGAGAACGGCACAAGCTCCTCGCTCACCAGGAGGGACAACAAACGCTGGGAAAGCGCGACCCGCCGCTCGCGTCACCCTGGGCCGCGAGGGCTGGCAGGCGCACCGAGGTGCCACGGTACCCAGGCCATCCCCGAGCAGCCGAGTCACAAAGCCTTCTCCTCACCTTCTCCCTGTGCCTGTGCCGCAGCGCGGTAAGCCGCTCGTCCAGCTCCGCCTGCAGAGCTTTCACCTCCGCTTCGTGGAGCTGTCGGAGGCGCACCATCTCGCTTCGCAGGCCTTCAAACAGCTCTGCTCTTTGCTTTCTCTCCTGTTCGGTGCAAAATACAAACAAGAGCATGCGGAAGTTGCCTGCACGGGGAATATTTTGACAGATTATCCTTATAACCCCAGCCTAAATTCACTTTACGTCATGGCGCTCTCCGCCAGCAGTACCTCCTCCTCGTACTGATCCTGAATCCGTGCTAGGACCTCCTGGTGCTCCGCTTTCATCCTCTCCATTTTCCTCTCGTGGTCTTTTTCCACTTCCTGGCGTTTCTCTCTCATAAGCTCGCTGAGCTGCGGGGACAAGGCAGAAAGACGCCTCTGAACTACGGCGTTGCGCTGCAGCGGCCCCCCAGGAGAGCAACCTCTCGCACGAGCGGAGGGACTGGAGTTCGGAGTACCTCGCACGTGGGATCAGGCTGGGGCCCGCATAGTACAAGGCAAGCACCCGGGGGAGGGAAGATGCTGCAGGGGTGTCCCCGTCCCCCCAGGCACGGGTCACCCCGGGGCGGGGGACGTGGCCTCTCGGACCCCACCACACCTCCAGGGCGAGAGGGCGAAGAGCCTCCCTCCAGCAATCCGAGATGAATACTTGCCTCGCGCTCGTATTCCGTTACTTGATGAGCTTTTTGCTGCACTTTCAGCTCCGCTCTCTGCAAGTCGTCACGCAGGCGAGCCTCCTCGCTCCTCTGCGACTCCGCTATCTGGGTGCGCAGGCTGGAAAGGACCTGCCACGAAAGCCACCCACAGAGACTTGTCACCCTTCTGACGAGATCCATAGAGTGCCCTCCTACAGAAAGGAAGCAGCATGGCCAAGACCATGCTGTCTCACCACCCCCTCCTCTGAGCAGGTCCAAGTGCTGAGCCAGACCAGAAACACATTTAGAAGTGGAAAAAAAATTAATGCCATCTCTCCGTGGCCACCTTTGGTGACTGTGTGGGGGAAAAAAAATCATTTACATTCCAAGGACGCCGTCTTTTACCTTATGATGCTTCTCTTCTGCTGCAGATTTCAGCTGCTGGAGTTCAGCTGCAAACTGTTTCTCTAGCTCTTCCGCTGCCTATGGGAAGACGAGCAAGACAGTCCGCTGGCAAACCTCTGTGTGTGGGGACATGCTCTACAAGGTGCATTTGCAATTAACGTCTACCCATGAGCATCAAAGCCCACGACGGTAAACCTCTTTCAAAGCCGATTACACACAAGGTGCCTTCACACTCTACGGGCTTGCGCTCCCAGGAGATCCCGACGGATCTCAGTCACGCTGTGCTGGAAGGACTACGAACTGCCCAGGCTCTCTGGAGGGCTCCAGCAGCAGCCAAGGAGGTATCTGATCCGATAAAATGGCTTGCCTTAGCTCGGCAGACACACAGTGACCCTTCTCTACTCTTCAGGTGCGACGTGGCCGTTTGAATAATTGTTATTTAATCACTACTGTAATAAAAATTGGGGAAGTACTCCTCCCCACCTCGATCCCGCCGCTAACAGCACACCTAGCGTCTTTCCTTCAGGTTTTAAGTGAGTCATTATTAAAGCCCATGCAGGTGTTATTTAAATATCTCAACGCTTCAGCACTGCAAAAGCAAGCAGGTCACAGCATGAACAGCACGGGGGTCTGACCCTACGGCCTGGTTTCTGCAGGGAGAGAGTTCCTTTTCTTCATCATAGCTAGTACGGGGCTATAGTCTGGATTTGGGATGAAATCCGTGTTCATAATTCAGGGATGGTTTCAGTTGTTGCGAGGCCGTCAAAGACCGTCCGGCTTCTCACGCTGGCCG